GAATATTTTTGGTAGTTTGCCTTGCATCATTTGTATCCAATTTGCTGATGTTCTTTGGTAAGCAGATTACTGCATTCAGATCTCCCATTAGGCACTAATTTTCATAAGACAGCTCTATTAACTTTCCCATGAGTGCATTAAAAATGCAGATTTATTTTCATTTGGAACATAAATCCCCACTAAAAGGATCTTATTTTCATTATAATTAATCTCCATTCTCAAATATCTGCCTTAATCACCAGATAAAATTATTTTCTGTTGCAATTGTGGATTTATGTCTATCAACTTTAATTCAGCTTCCTTAAGCAAAAAATAAAAATCCTCTCTCAAGTTTTTATTTTAAATTTTTTCCCCTTTATTATAAGTGTTTTTGTAAACAAACTACATCCAACTTTAATTTCTTCAAATAATGAAATAGCTTCTTTCTTTCCTGGAAGGCACTCGTCCCATTTATACCCCACGTTAGGCATTTAAATTCCATTTTTATAAATTTCAATTTCTCTATCAGTGTTACCTAAAGTAGCGGTATCTTCCTCATTTTCTTATAATTGCATACTTCCCATTTGTCTTTTGGGTATCTCCTCCAATTCAACCTTAATATCTTTCCCAAAATTCTCTTACCTTTTGAACTGAATTAAATCAAAATCGCTGCTGCTTAAAAGTAAAAATCAATTTATTTCCATTTCAATGTATACTACACAAATGGTATCTTCCATTTTAATTTGTCAGTCATGAAGCTATAGTCTTTCCTTTTATGCAGTATTTTAATAAATATTTAAGTAGGATTATATCAGAGTTATTTATCTTTAACTTTAGATTAAAACATTGCTGTAGAATTGTTATAGTGATGTACAATGTTCTCTTCCTAACAAAATACTATAACTAATATGTCTTTTGAAACATTTCTTAGTTTTGGTGTACCTTGTATTAATTCTATAAACATTATCCAATTCTGCTTCCATATTTTCTTTGTCCCATTGCAAAAACTTTTCTAAGACTGAACTATTCTGTCCCTTATACGTTCCCCGGATTTTTCTGGGTCTAACTTCAAGCAAATTTTGACAGTGCTAAATTATCTAAATTGTTTTCTGTGTCTTAGCTTATTGCTTCAGTCTTGGTTCCTAAAATTTCTATTATTTCTTTAACTTGATGAACCTCATCTTTACTCTATATTACCAATTCTTCAAATTTCTTATTCATTATTTCCTCCAAATTCACCAGTTTCTCCGCTATGGAGGCTGTCACTGCTGCTGTTACAGGTGGTATGACAGTTTTGCCCCATCTCTTCAAACATCCTCGGTAAATTCTCAGGTATATTCCCAGCTGGTTGATCAGTCAATGATCCTCTTCTTTCCTCTTTCATTGCTTTTCTTTCTTGAATTTTATTTATACATTTTTTCTTTAAATATACGTAGGTGCTTAATGAAGATTGCATTGTCTGAGTCATTTTAGGTTTACAAAATAATAATCCTGATAATGATAATAGTAATAATAATGCTCACTTATTTATATAAATTATTTTTCATCCTCTGCTTATACATAATGGTAATTTTTCATCTTCTAATTTCTACCTCTTTTATCTATCCACTGATAAAACATATCCCATGTTGAAAAAAATATTCTGTTTCTTCCTTGTCTTTTATTTTTAATGTCAATCTATCCATCTTGGCAAAGTCTAATATTTTTTAAATTATATTTTCATCTTTAGGGGTATCTTCATTTTCCCAATATGATGAAAAATCCAATTCTCGCTGCTGTCAACACATGAAGTATAAGTATATATTCCTTTTATTATAGTTTTCTGGTATTATGCCTAAAAAGAATATTTCTGCCTAGAGGAGGAGAACAGGGAAAGTTACTAGAATAATAAAAGTAAATACTCTGAAAAAAGATACAATAACCACAAAAATAGGGAAAAGAAAAAGAAGACATTAGGGGAAAGGGAGAGAAGAAGGAAAGAATTAAAACTGGGATTTGGGGAGCCCAAGAGAAAATAGTGAAAAGAGGAAGAAAGGGAAAAAGGGTTACATTAGTCGACTAAAGAGAATAGTAGTAAGATTGTTATTGCTACATAACTAATTAAGAAATAAAGAAATGATCGTATATTGTTAATGGTAGAAAAAAATTGAAAGAAATGCTCTCTATGCTTAAATTGAATCAGAGGATCAGAGGTGGGTTCCTACCAGTTCGCACCTATTTGGTAGAACCGGTTCGTCAAATCTACCGAACCGGTTAGAAGAGGTTCCACCAGTGGACCCGGAAAGCAGGCCACACCTACAGAAGAGGTACCAAATTTTTTTGAAACCCACCACTGCTACACACACACACACACAGAGAGAGACAGACAGATTGACACAGAGAGAGAGAGAAAGAAAGAAAGGAAGAAATAAATAAATAAAAAAAGAAAAAAGAAAGAAGAAGAGTGAGAGAGAGATGAAAGAAAAAAAAAGGGACAGAGAGACAAAAGGAAGGAAAGAGAGAGAGAGAGAGAGAAAGAAAACACATGGCCGGCAAGCCACTCCCACCAGGTCACATGGCTGGCAAGCCGCTCCCACAAAGGAGGCCACACCCACAGAGTAGGTTCGAAAATTTTTTGAAACCCACCAGTGCAGAGGATGTATGCTGTTTATAGTAAAATATACCAATGGAGAAAATAATAAATGAAAAATTGGTGTAACTTTGAAGGGGCAATTGAAGATATTGTTTATGTATTAAGAAAAAATGACTATAAAGATGGAAAATAATGGAAGAGAATAATTTGGCTGAAAGTGAAAAAAAAACTATGGTGTAAAAAGGACGAAAACATCCGGACAACTCTTTGTTCCTATAGTATGTATAATTTGTATTAAAAAAATAAAAAACCTTGAATGGAAAAAAATAGAATATTTCTGCCTTCAAATCTATATGTTGCTTTATCAATTTTTCTAACCATGTGTGTATTTTCATCCAATGAAGGATAATAAGAGCCTGTGTACATTTCCAACATTTAGTGGACATGTTTTAAAACATTTTTGCTAGTCTTACTGGTGGCAAGTGCCACCTATAAAATATTTTGTACAGGTTTTCCTTATAAGACGTTGCCATTGTCATTTTGTAATTTCTGCCCCCAAAGTTTTTGCTATTTATCTAGTTCTATAGTATAACCAGTTTTTCGCCCATACTATCATTGCTTCTTTCACCTGTTCATCTTTTATTGTGATAATTAAAAGCTAACTGTATAATTTCTTTATTAGTTTTTCATCCGTCCCTAGGAATACCGGGACAAGTGTTGTTGGCTCTTTATAAAAACCACATATCTTTGCATCTTTCTCATATCTAGATTGTATTTGCAGGTGTGGCCACCATGCTAAATCCACCTCTTGGTTTTGCAATTCCTGCCTAGTTTTAAGTTCTCTTTCTTCATTTAAAATGTCTTTGTGTATTACAATTTTTCCCAGATTGACAACATTTGGACATGTCAGTGCTTCCATCACAGAAAGCCAGACTGGTATTTTCATATAATTTTTTGCTCTAACTTTTTCCCATACTAAATATAGAACATTTCTCACATAGTGTCTTTGAAAGTATTGCTGTATTGTATTTTTTCTGTACTGCAGTGGCTCTCTCTGTCTCTGTCTCTGTCTCTGTCTCTGTCTCTGTCTCTGTCTCTCTCTGTCTGTCTGTCTGTCTGTCTGTCTGTCTGTCTCTCTCTCTCTCTCTGTGTCTGTCTCCCTCTCTCTCTGTCTCTCTGTCTGTCTGTCTGTCTGTCTGTCTCTCTCTCTCTCTGTGTCTCCCATCCAAATAAAAGGAACCAGCTTTAACTTATGCTTCCCTTTTTCTTGTTTCTTAAACCCTGCACTTTTACAACAGTCCTTGAAACTTTCATGAATCCATGCTCTTGCAGTCTGTGCATTTTTATGACTGTGCTTTACCCCTTTTGTTTAAGAAAGCTAGCCAGTCATTCTCCTTGGTGAGCCACAACAAAATGTTTGCCTATGAAGGTATGTGCTATTTATTTAATTAATTGTCATGAATTTAAAATACATGAATTCAGCTGGGGGAGGGGGCAGGGCTCCAAGGTACTTCGTTGTTGAAAAAGAAGTGGTTCTGCAATTTATCTTTCAAATGGACAATAAGTCACACCTTTTACTTCCTAAACACTTGATTTGACTATTATCTTTATTCAGCTAAAAGAGGCTCTCTTCAGTCACAGCCTATTATTCCTGTCTGAAGACCTGCAGATCTTTTCAAGACATCGCTATTGTTGAATGATGATGATGAAGATTGCCAGAGGTGACTTAAATAAGGTATAGGAAAAAAATTCTTCTAATTTTGATAGGGATACCTTCCCCTGCCATCTTATTGTAATAGATTCCCAAGAAGGCTCTTTACAATGACATCAAAATTATAGTAGAAAAGAAGAAACTGTGACAATAAAGGTCTGTAATAATAAAATAAAAGTGTCATCCATCATGGTGCATCTTCTCAGCTGTTTGTTCTATCAAAACACAATCTCTACAATTCCTTTCAAGCATGGTGAACCTTTCCCAAGACAATATTAGGGTTAGTATTGGCTGTGGGCTAAAAGAAGAAGCCATGTCTTTATTAAGATTCTTTATTAGACTTTATTAGAAGTTTCTAACTGTATTAGAAGTTCATGCCGAGATATGAGAATTGCTTCTCCTCTCTGCATTTCCTCTCCTGAATTAAAAGAGTTGAGATCTCTGACCTGGAGTTTAATGGCAGTCTTCCACTCTCTAGTTTCAACAAGAGTAGATGAATGGACAAGGAGAAGGTAGGGCAAGGATATGGAGAGAAAATCTTTTTATGCAGTTGCTAAGAATCAACACCAACTTGATGCTTGATGTCACATGATGAAGCACCTACATCAAGAGCCTCAGTAGGCTGGGGAGGAGGATATTAATGTCACGGTGAAACGATGGACTTTCCCGGGGCTCCGGGATCACCACTGAATTCTAGTTGCAGGATGGTCCAATCCAGCCCTAAACCATCCCGAAGAGATGGTGACAGGTAGGGGTATATCCTGTCAAACCCAGAGACACCCGCAAAGTCTCTGGTGATCCAGGAAAAATCCCCTCTTGCCGGCGACTATGAGTCAGCCATTAGGCTGCTGGAACTGCTGACAGCTCCGTAACGCAAGGGCAGGAGAGAAGCATGTCATTTTGGTGAGAGTTTTAATTTTTTTTCTTTATTAGAGAGAGAACACCCTAAATCTGGAGCTTTAATTTAAAATAAAGACTGAAGAGAGAGCAAGTGGTGGACTTAAGGCATGGTCAATTGAAGGTTTCCTTTTTCCCCTTTTTATTGGCGGACTTTCTTCATTGGATTCTTTGGAAACATCGATATAATTAAGTTTTAACTGTCTAAAAATTTCCTTTTTTTTTACTCTTCCTTAATGAACTATTGTATTTCCCTTTTCCTGGCTTTCCTTTTTCTATTTTCTTTAAAAAGTAAAAGGCAGAGCGTAAAAGAGGAAGACTGAGAGTGGGAAACAAGTATCACTGCTACCTAGTGGGTTTGAAACAATATTTTTTATTTTTGCATGAATATTTGGAGAGAATTTGTTCTTTTCAAGGTTACTTAGTCAAGGCTTGATATTGAGAGGAACACTGGAAATTTACCTTGAAAGAATAAATAAAATTTTTTAAAGGGAAAGCACAGAGTGACCTTGGAAAGGCTTTCACCTTATAAAAGCTTTGAATTCTTTTTCTTCTTTTTTGGTGGCAGTGTTTACCTCACTCTGTTATGGAAGTTGTGACTCCTTTTTGTCTCCTTTTTCTTTTTTGAATTTTTTTTGAGTCATTTGTTAGCTTGCTTTAAGAGAATTTTTGAATTTTTATATCTCTATATTATTATTTGGGGATTGTTATTTTTTGCTCCCATTTTTTTCTTTCTTCTTCCTTTTCTAATTGGAACCAACTGGATAAGGGCATACAAGAGATTAAAGATTTTTACCTTTCTGGTTTTTTTATATTATTGTATATTTTTTTCTTTTTGGCCTTTTCTGCTGCCCCTTAACCCCTGTTTATTGTTTTATTTTCTATTTTTTGACCTCCCCATGGTCACTTGGGATTATAATCCCACCTCACATTAGGCGGATTAAAACACAATTTTTTTTGAAGATGAGTAAAAAAAATAACAACCATTGGCTCTGCAACAACAACCCCTCCTCTTCACCTGCAGGAGGACAAAGATCAATACAGATGATGCTTCAACAGGAGAAAGACAAGGGAGTAACATTAGAGGCGATTATGCAAGGAATACAAAAAACTACAAATAAGAGCAGAAAGCATTGAAAAGAGAACAGAAACCATCAAAAAAGAACAGAGAATATGGAAAAGAGAATTGAGATGATAGAACAAAAAAAAATATAGAACAAAAGACAAGTAAAACAGAGGAAAAAATTGAAAATATTCAACAATTGATGATGAAATATGTGTCACCGTTCCAAATATCATGCAGAATTAAATCAGAGTCCAAGGCAGAGCTATCCTTAAAGTTCCAATTTAATAAGACAGACATGTTGGCAATGGACTGTGGAAATCTCAAATCTGAAAACTTCCTGGGATTTCACCATTAATAGCCTGGCTATCAACTATTGAAGCTTTTTCATATC